AAAGGCCCAAGAACCACCCAAGACGGTCCAGGATGGCATCCAGCTAGCCTTGACCCCCGCCGGATGCCCGAAGATCACCCCAATGTCACCCCAAAGAGGCGTTCGAACCCCAAAAACATAGATGTTTCATTGTTTTTTTGTATGATTTTCGGATACTCGCTAATTCGACTTTCCACGCGTCCGAGAACGTCGGAAACGCATTGGCAACCGCTCCTAGACGGCCCAAATGAGCCCCATGAGCGCCCGAAGCGGTCTCCAAACTGCCCACGATAGTCCCCATGACCGCCCAAAACTCACCCCACGACGGCTGGCGCAAGGTCTGAGGGTCGCCACGACGGTCGAAGATGGTATCATGTGGTCCTGGCCCTTGCTGGATGCTCGACAGCGCTTCAAAGGCGCTCGAAACCCTGACAATCTTGATTTGTCTGTATCTTCTTATGCTTTTCGACTATGTTCGCATTCGGCTTGCCAGGCGTCCGAGACCGCAGGCGAGGCACCGAAAACCTTTCCCGACTCCAGAAAATCCGTACTGGGGCCCAGTACGGATCCTAAACTTGCCCACAGGCGGCCCCATGACCGGCCCAAACTGACCCCAAGGCGGCTGGCGGAATGCTCATGACACGCCCGAGACGGTCCAAACTGGCACCAAGTTGGCCGCCCTCGTCGGATGCCCGGAGGCGACCCGAAAAGTACTTCAAGACGCTCTCGAAACAGGAATGCTGTTTCAATGCTGTTGTAAAGATGTGCTACCATTCGTTTTTTCGGCTTGCTGGGCGCCCGAAAACATGGTCAAAACTCCGAACACCGCTCCAACTAAACTCAAACGCGCTTCCTGAATCCCCAAAGCGGCTCCACGAGGGCCCGGGACGGCCCCCAAACGGCCCATGGGCGGCGCCCTGACGGCTTGGGGAGGCCCCTAACACAAGACAAATCAGCATCCTCACTCTTTAGGCGCCATGCGGGCCTTAGACGACTCCTAAACTGCCCATGGGCGGCTCCATGACAGCCCAGGCACACCGTCTGGACGCTCCCCAACAGGGCCACCCAGGAATTCCAGCTCTCCAGGGCGCTTTCTCAACTTTCACCCAAGCGTGCAAACGGGCGAGCGGACGTCCCAAGACGCCCCGAGGACAGTCCGAGGTGGTTCCAAGATGGGCCACAAGGCCCTCACACCGCTTCGGCAGGCCCCCATGTGTGGTAATTCATTACGGAAGGCCGCGGTTTGCCCACAACCCCAGGTTCGCAACCACTTTTCCGGAAATTCTGTTGCGCACCCAGGACTTCAGCAATTTCCATTTACGCCATTCCGTGCGCCCGTGGTCTCCGACTCAGTCTTTGCCCGTCCCGAGTTGACTGTCTCCTTCTCCCCTTGCCCCGCTTCGCCGTGATACGAGCCAGCGAACACGCCTCAAAGGGAAAAAAAGAAGGCGCGACATGCCAACTGCTCCAACACTTCAAAGAACAAAGTGCATGGCGCGAAACGCCAACGCAGCTTTGTATATATGTGCACATACATACATACATATACACACATACATATAGACATATACATATATAGTTGTACACAAATGTGTAAATACAATTTCGTTTATGGATATTTTACCCGTGTGTATATATAAATTTATGAAATATACATTGGTACACATACACACATGCACGCATTCACATACATGTACATGTGTATATTTATGTGTGTATGCATATACATTGTTTGTGTATATATTTATATGTACATGCATATACACATGCACACTTTCACACATATACATATACTTATGTCTGTGTACGTATGCACATGTCTCGTTCTCTCTCTTTCTCTATATGTGTATGTGTGTGTATATATATAATTATGCACATCTCTATATATATATATATACCTGTGTGTATATATACACACAGGTATAGTATGTCTTTCCGCGCCCCACGCGGGGGCAGGCGAGCCGTCTCTCAGGCCCCACCCCGCCCGCACGAAGGCCGCGAGGGGTCACGAGGGGCCGCGGGGCACCCGATGCCACAGGGCCTCGGGCAGCCGAGTCAAGCCTCCGGCCCTGCCGCCCGCCAGCCCAGCCGACCGCAGAGAACTTTGCAGCTCTCGCTGCGGAAGGCGTCCCAGACCCCTTCGCTTCGAGAAAAAATCACGAGGGGAGGTCTTTCGTCATTTTCGACCTCCGGGGGCCCTTACCAGGCGTCGGAGCCGTCAAAAACTACTCGGGACGAAGAACCGATCCCAGGGAAGGGGTCCAGACTTCTGAGGCTCAACATTGCGAAAAAGTCACGACGTCGGGGGTCTGGGGCTTGGTCCGAGCGCAACGGGTCACTGATATCGCCCCGTCCAGCTTCCTTTTGTCTGTCGCCAGTTCCGCTCGAGCTGCCATCGCTGGAGTGCCTCGCCTGCATGGGCGACGAGATCTGCCGGGTCTGCCTGCAGTGCGGAGGGGAGCCCCTGATCTCGCCATGCGCCGGTTGCAGGGGCTCTTCCGGACACATCCACTACAGCTGCATGGCGCGCTTCTACCGCTCGCGGCGGCAGTGGTGGAACTTGGCCTGCCCGACGTGCAGGTGCTCCTACGAGGGCCCGGCGGCAATCCGCCTTGGCCAGGAGGGGCTCCGGGAGGCGGAGGAGGAGTTCGGCAGGGCGTCGCTGGAGGCGCCACGAGCGGCGAGCGTGCTCGTGTCCGCGCCCTCGCGGCCTGGGCTCCAGGGCGCGGTCCCGCGGATGCGCGGGCGCAGGGAGACCTGCCGCGCCGGGGCTCCGCGGCAGAAGCGCCCCCGTGTCTGCGAGGTGGCGGCCTGGGGGGCCCGGCCCGCGAGGCCGCGGACACGGATGCGTGTTTCGCCCTCGCGAGGTGGGCGCGGTGCTGGCGAGCCTGGGCAGCGCGCACGGCGACGCGGGCGACGCCCGCGGGCACCGCGAGCTCCTGGAGCGGGCGCTGGGCATCCAGGATCACAGGCAACGATAGGGGGGGCAGGCTCAGGGGGGGATGCATCGACCCCCAATCGCTCATTGATCGTCGATGGGGGCCCGATAGCCCCACCCCGCCCGGGAGGGTGCGAATTCGCGATCTGGGGCTTATTCTTGTCGCCGATCTATCGGCGATGCATCGCCCATTCCAGGTGGATGTTCTCCCCGCTGAGCCAGTCCCCCCCTAGAAGGCGGGGGGATGGGGGAGGGCGGCGGGGGGCCAGTCACGTCACGCTTCGCGCCGGAGCCGTCTGGGAACGGACCAGAATCCACCTCGGAGGTCAGCACGAATCGTGACGTTACCGGGGGGCCGCCGGGTCCGTTGCCGGCAGCTCTCGCGAAGCTGTTTGCGTCGGCGGCTGGGCAGAGGACGTCTGCGCTGGCGACGGATCAGGCCAAAACGGGGATGCCGTTAGAGCGAGCACCCTCGCGAAACAAACAGGAGGAGGAGAAGGAGGAGGAGGAGGAGGATGAGGAGGAGGATGAGGAGGAGGAGGAGGAGCAGCAGGAGGAGCAGGAGGAGGAGGAGGAGGACAAGTGTAAACCCAAGAGTCACCAACGATGTTGGAATTCACCCTCCCTCCAAGCTCCCTCTTCATGGGCCCCTACAACGGTTCATTTCCATTGAGGGAACTGCCTCGTTGGAAGACAACCGTTTGAAAATCCTGAAGCATGCTGAAGTATAGTTCTCGAGATTTCAACGCCACATATCAAACTGACTGCTGCAAACTGGCGATCCGGAGCCCTGCCTTGACGCCATTTTTAGGATTTTAACTCCGCGAATCAAAATTGTTGCACCCGCATAATCCTTAATCGCTCCAAAGCATCAATTTTGGTACGTTGATCACGTGAATTAGTGAGACTCTTGCAAGTCTTTACAGCGAATGCGCGCGGTGCTGAGGCGAGAGCCACATTTTGAAAACCACCCGCATTCAATCCGTGAGGCTCTTGCATTTTTTAAACGAATGTGCGCAGCGCTAAGGCGAGGGCCACATTTTGAAAACCACCCGCATTCAATCCGTGAAGCTCTTGCTAGTTTTTAGAACGAGTGTGCGCCGCGCTAAGGCGAGAGCCACATTTTGAAAACGATCCTCCCTCAATCCGTGAAGCTCTTGCAAGTTTTTAAAAGGCATGTGTACCGCGCTAAGGCGAGAACCACATTTTGAAAACGACCCGCCCTTAAACCGGATATGCGCCGCGCTAAGGCGAGAGCCACATTTTGAAAACCACCCGCCTTCAATCCGTGAAACTCTTGCGAATTTTGAAAACGAATGTGCGCGGCGCTCAGGCGAGAGCCAAATTTTAAAACCCACCCGCCCTCCATCTGTGAAGTTGTTGTCAATTAAGCTTCAGAGTCATAAGTGGTGAGGGAGTCTCAGGCGGATCGCCTGGCCCGCCCTAAAAATTGGCTTCGGGGTGCGACAGGGAGGAGTTATCTATAAGGAGATGGAATGGAAGAGGAGGATGAGGATGAGGATGAGGATGAGGATGAGGATGAGGAGGAGGAGAAGGAGGAGGAGGAGGAGGATGAGGAGGAGGAGGAGGAGAAGGAGGAGGAGGAGGAGAAGGAGGAGGAGGAGGAGCCCCTCAGGAGCGAGCGCTCGGCTCGGAGCACCCGGCCGTCGCCATCACCCTGACGAGCCTGGCGGCGGCGCACGGCGACCTCGGCGACGCCGGCCGCCAGCGCGCCCTCCTGGAGCGCGCACTGGCGATAGGTGATCGTTTTCTTATTCGTCGTTTTGTCGATTGGCGCGGGCCCTCGCACCCCCCCCCCTCCTCCCCCCCAGGGAGTAGATCTTGGCTGTTTTGGGCGCTTGTTTCGAGCAGGCGGAGGCTCCCCCAGGGACAGCACTCTTGCAAACAGACGCACTCAGCGGAGGGCTGGAGCCAGACCCCCCCCTCCCCCCTTTTCCGCCCAATGTCGAAACGCCGAATAATACAACGCTCATTAGACGAGCGCGAGCACGGACCGGACCACCGCGAGGTGGCCGCAGCTCTGCAGAACTCGAGGGACAAAACAACGGCATCGGCATGAACTCTTGGCGCTCCGCGCGGAACTCAGAGAAAGTATGCTGGTGCCGTTCGTGGGAGCCTGGAGCGGCGATGTTGAAAGTGACTCTTCCTGCATTTGGACCGCATTTGGGCCGCGCACGGCCCTTCCGGTTCCTGCTCTTCCTCGCCCTTCCTGTTCCCCCTTCCCCGTTTCGCTCTTCTCGTCCTCCGTGTGAATGGGCGGATCTGGACCAGATTTGGTTCCAACTATGTTCCAAGTCTGGTCCGAGTCAGTCCCAGATCGGACAGCGCCAGGGGCCACGTAGGCTCCCGTGGAACGGCTACCGAACGAGGTGGCCGCCACGCTGCAGAACCTGGGCACCGCGTGCACCGTGCTCGGGGACTATCGCAGGGGCCGGGATCTGCTGGAGCGGGCGCTGGCCATCAACGAGCGGGAGTACGGGGCGGGCCACAGGAACGTGTCGATCACGCTGTCGAGTCTCGGGAACGTCTGCGGCGCCCTCGGCGACGCTGGCCGCCAGCGCGACCTGCTGGCCAGGGCGCTCGAGATCCAGGAGCGGGAGTTCGGAGAGCGACACCGGGTAGTCGCTGCCACCCTCACGAACCTCGGCATCGTTCGGTGACAAGTCATGGGAGCCCTGTGTACCGCCGCAAGTCCGTCTTTTCGGTGCATCAGCCTCGACTCGCGCCGTGTAATCGACGGGATAGCGCCGATTCAGCATCGAGTAGCGTCGGTCAGCGTCGATTAGCGTCGATTAGCGTCGATCTGCCGTCGCCCAGCGTCGGCTCGCGAGAGCCAGCAAGCTGGTAAGGGAGGCTCCCGCGAGTTGCCACGGAAGCATCGCCTTCGGAGAGCTGGGGGACGCCGCGCGGCAGCGCCTGCTGCTGGAGCGCGCGCTCGCCATCGACGAGGCGACCTTCGGACCGCACCACCGCGAGGTGGCGGCCACGCTGACGAGCCTCGGCGTGGCGCACGGCGCGCTGGGCGACCCGGAGCGCCAGAGCCGCCTGCAGGAGCGGGCCCTGGCCATCCAGGAGCTGGGGGAAGCAGCTCCCCGGAACTCTCCCGGGGGGCGTGCCGACCAGGATCGCGAGGCGAATCCGGCGGTGGCGACGAGGACGTCCCGGGAGGCCGACACACGGAGAGAGCGGGCGAAGGGCAGCGGCATGCCGGCACCTTCGGCTCCCCTGAGGAGCGGGAGTTCGGGCCCCGCCACCGGGTGGTGGCCGCCACCCTCACGTGCTTGGGCAGCGCGAGGTGCGACCTCTCCGGCGGCGTGCCCCAGAGGGGGAGAGGTGCAGGAGGGGGGCCAAGCCCTCTCAGAGGGCGCGCGGGGCCTTTCGGAAGCCCTCCACGGCCTTCCGGGAAGCACCCCGTGGCCTTGGAGGGAGGGCTCAGAGCGCTTCTCGGAATGGCCGGAGGCCCTCCTGAGTCTGCTGAGGCGGCCCGCCCCCCCCTCAAGACCCCCGACGCCGTGATGTTTTTCACAGCGTGGTCTGGACCCCTTCCCCAGGACCGGTTTTTCATCCCAAGTGGGTTTTTTGACGGTCCCGAGGCCTGGTATAAGGGCCTCCGGAGGCCGAAAACAGAGAGAAGCCTCCCGTCGCGATTTTTTCGCAGCGCGAGGGGGTCTGGGCCTCTCACTTCGCCCCGTGGGCGCGCCACCGGACCTCGGCGACCCCGCGGGCGCACGCGAGCTGCTGGAGCGCGCCCTGGCCATCCGCGAGGCGGAGTTCGGGCCCGACCACTGCGAGGCGGCAGCAAGGAGGAGGAGGAGGAGGAGGAGGAGGAGGAGGAGGAGGAGGAGGAGGAGGAGGAGGAGGAGGAGGAGGAGGAGGAGGAGGAGGAGGAGGACCGCTGCGAGGTTGCCGCGACGCTGGCCAACCTCGGCAGGGCATGCGGCGCGCTCGGTGACGGCGGCGCGGCAGCGCGCCTGCTGGAGCGCGCCCTCGCGATCCAGGAGCGCGAGCTGGGTCCAGACCACCGCGCGGTGGCCGTTACGCTGACTGGCCTTCAAGGGCAACGCTTAGGGGGGGTAGAGTCGTGGGGGGTGCTCGTGGTTCGAGTCTTGAGGTTTTCGGGCGTTTTCGTAGGACCATCGGCGGTGCTCCAGCCTGGGGATGATCTCCATCAGCTGCGCCTCGCCGAGAGGCGTCCCGGGGTGCCCGGACCGTCCCGAACAGCCGCCGGAGGCTCGAGCTAGTTATGGCCCGAAAGCCGGACGACGAGCAGTCATTGGGGGGGATAGGCTCAGGGGGGGATGCATGGACTCCCCGTCGCCCGTTCATCGCCGATGGGGGCCCGAGAGTCCCCCCCCCCGCCCAGGAGCGTGCGGGGGGCCCGTCGCCGATCTGTCGGCGGCGCGTCGCCAGTGCCAGGCCGATGCTCCCCCCCTCCGTGAGCCGGCTCTCTTCTGCGGTCGGGACGCGCATCAAGGAGCCGAGTGCTTCACGTCAGGGCACCCTGGGCCTCTTCGCTCCCCGCGCTGCGCGGTGCCTTCCCGCGGCCGGTGACGGAGCTGCCGCGTTCGGGGTGCTCTGGGCCCCCCCCCCACTGTCGCCTCGCGCCTGCGGGTTCTCAGGGCCAGGCCTCTCGCGAAAGCGCTGGTGGCGTCGGCTAGCGTCGAGTTGATGTCGGCGAGCGTCGATGGGCACCGACTAGCATCGACGGGCGTCGGTTAGCGTCGGTTCGCAAATGCCAGCAAGATGGCATGGGGAGGCTCCCATGCCCAGACATGCGACGTCCTTCTTTTTCCGACACGGGGTCCCTGGAAGTCCCGACCCTTTCCCCAGGACCAGTTGTACGTCCTGCGTTGTTTTTTGACGCTCCCGAGGCCAGGCGAGGGCCCCCCGAGGCCAGAGATGGCCAAAAACCTCCCGTCCTGATTTTTTTTGCGACGCGATCATGTCTGGGACCGAAGCTGGACTCCGTGCGAGGCTTTCTCGCGGCCGCGCCCGCACTGTGCACCGTCCCCCCCTCGCAGGCCTGGGCCGCCTCCACGGGGGCGGCGGCGGGGGCCGCGGCGCCTCGCAGGACCTGCTCCGGCGGGCCCTGGCCATCAAGGATCGGCGGCGGGCGAGGGATGGGAGTGAGAAGGAGAACGCCCTCTCAGCAGGCTCGGAAGCCCCCCGGCCTTCGGAGAAGCTTTCGGAGCCTTCCCCGAAGGCAGAGAGAAGAATTTTCGGAAGGCGCGAGGGCTTCCGAGAAGCCCGCCGCCTGCTGAGAAGGCCTTCTCCGCCTCCTTGCCCGTGGCGCAGCGCGCCCATCGGGCCGTGGGCCGCGGGGCAGGTGCGGCTCTGGGGGCTTACGCCATCTCCTCCTCCTCCTCCTCCTCCTCCTCCTCCTCCCTCCTCCTCCTCTTCCTCCTCCTGCTCCTCCTCCTTCCTCCTCCTCCTCCTCCTTCCTCCTCCTCCTCCTGCTCCAGCTCCTGCTCCTGCTCCTGCTCCTGCTCCTGCTGCTGCTGCTGCTGCTGCTGCTCCTCCTCCTCCTCCTCCTCCTCCTGCTCCTCCTCCTATTCCCCTCCTTCGCTCGCCGCCGAGAGGAGCGCGAGTTCGGCCCCAGCCACCGCGAGGTGGCGGCCACCGCGTTTGAGCTCGGGCGCGCGCTGTGGGCCTCGGGCCGTCGTGGCGCGGCGCGCGCGGCGATGCGCCGCGCGGAGGGGATCTCCCGGAGGAGGGGCAAACGCTCAGGCGATCGCAAACCTGGATCACGAGAAGGAGGAGGAGGAGGAGGAGGAGGAGGAGGAGGAGGAGGAGGAGGAGGAGGAGGAGGAGGAGGAGGAGGAGGAGGAGGAGAGGAGGAGGCGGAGGAGGAGGAGGAGGAGGAGGAGGGGAGGAGGAGGAGGGGAGGAGGAGGAGGAGGAGGCGGAGGAGACGGAGGAGGCGGAGGAGGCGGAGGAGCGGAGCCGGAGCCGGAGCCGGAGCCGGAGCCGGAGCCGGAGGAGGAGGAGGAGGAGGAGGAGGAGGAGGAGGAGGAGGATGAGGAGGAGGAGGAGGCGGAGGCGGAGGAGGACGAGGACGAGGAGGAGGAGGAGGAGGAGGAGGAGGAGGAGGAGGAGGAGGAGGAGGAGGAGGAGGAGGATGGGATTAGGGACGGGTCCCGTTGCCATGGGACATCGCGCAGTTCCGCCGCCGAACGAGGCGGCACTGGTCGCATTTTGGGGAGGGCGCCTCCCCCGATCCATGGATTGCGCGACCGCGCGCCGAGTCCATGGATCGCTAATCCATGTTTGCGCGCCCCCGAAACATGGCACGAGCACAGCCTCTCGGAGGTCCGCGCGGGCTCATCTCGGATCGGCGCGGGACTGCCCTTGGCCACGCGCAAGAGGGACCCTTCGCCAGGGTGGCCTCTGCTCGAGTAGGGGATTTACTAACTAAATAATTGATTAGCCCCAGAGTTGATTCATGCGTCGAATCTACGCAACATAATGTACGTTGATCTACGAGCATAATTTGTATTTATGTTGTACACTCGACGAGAAGATTAATTTTGGGGTGAATCAATTTCGCAGTCGATCCCCCACTCGATCTGTGGTGCTGGCCCTCAGGGGAGCCCCGAGCACTGGCTGGCGCGCTCGGATCCGGCCTTCCCGCACCCCCCTGATGACGCGCACCGCAGGCCACTGCGGCCCAGGGTCGCCCGTTTGTGTCGCTGACCCCCCTCTCTGGCGCTCGGAGCGAGCGTGGCGGGTGCGGCGTCAGAGGCGCCGCCAGAAGGGGTCCGGCGCCGATCCAAGAGATCCGCGCGGGCCTCCGAGAGTTTCTGCATATGACGTTTTTTCCTCCTCCGATCTCGCGCGAGAGCTTCGGGGAGGCCCACCCGCGGACGCGCCACGCGGCGTGGGTGCTGGAGCAGTGGGGCGCCGAGGATGCGGCAGCGGAGAGCGTACAACCGCGCTCGCGGTCGCGGTCGCGCCATGTCCCCCCCAAGAAGGAAAAGCAATGATGAGGGGGAGGGGGAGGAGGAGGATGGAGGATGAGGAGGGGGGAAGGAGGAGGAGGAGGAGGAGGAGGAGGAGGAGGAGGAGGAGGAGAAGGATGATGATGATGATGATGATGATGATGATGATGATGATGATGATGATGATGATGATAAATATGATGATGATGAATACATATGATGATGATGATGATGATGATGATGATGATGATGATGATGATGATGATGATGATGATGATGATGATGATGATGATGACGATGATGATGATGATGCTGCTGCTGCTGCTGTGCTGCTGCTGCTGCTGCTGATGATGATGATGATGATGATGATGATGATGATGATGATGATGGATGATTAGGAGGAGGAGGAGGAGGAGGAGGAGGAGGTGGAGGAGGAGGTGGAGGAGGAGGAGGGAGCACCAGCGTAAACCCAAGACTCATCAACGATATTGGAAGACACCCTCCCTCCAAGCTCCCACTTCACAGGTCCCAAGAATGGTTCATTTCCTGTGAGAGAATTGCCCCGTTGGGACAACCGTGTGAAAATCATGAAGCGTGCCAGAACACCATTCTCGGGACTCCAACGCCACGAGTTCACCTGACTGTTGCGTCTTGGCGATCCTGAACCGTTCCAGAACGCGATTCCTGGGACTGAACACCGTGAATCAACGTAAATCTTGCGCTCCGGCAACACCGAATCGTTCCAAAACGCTGTTTTTGGTACGTTAACAATGAGAGCCACTGAATCTGTTGCAGAGTTTTAGAACGAATGTGCGCGGCGCTAAGGCGATAACCACACTTTGAAAAGGGACCGCCTTGAATCCGTGAAGCTCCTCTTGCACATTGAAACAACGAATGTGCGCGGCGCTAACCGTAGACGCGCTAAGGGCGATGTAGGCTTCGGTGTTGTGGGAACGCGTGGCTCGTGCTTTCCTGCAATTCGCTGTGTCGTTTTCGTTCGATACATTCGCTGATTGGAGATGTAGGAAAGTGTGCTGCGTGATTTCCTACACTTTGATTCCTAACACCACCGTTAAGCAACGTCGCCGTTAGCGTGGCCTGGGGCTAAGGCGACAGCCACAACCACCCGCCCTGAATCCGTGAAGCTCTTGCACACTTCTACAACACATGTGCGCGGCGCTCAGGCGAGAGTCACAGTTTGAAAACCACTTGCCCTGAATCCGTGAAGCTCTTGCAGTTCGTTGCAACGAATGTGCGCGGCGCCAAGGCGAGAGCCACGTTTTGAATACCACCCGCACCGAATCCGTGAAACACTTGCAATTTTTGAAAACGAATGTGCGCGGTGCTTAGGTGAGAACCCATGTTGAAAACCACCCACCCTTCGTTTATGAAACTGTTGTTAGTTTTTAAAACTCAGGCCCGCGAGTGGTAAGGAAGTCTCAGACGAACCGCCTGGCCCTCCCTTCCGACTGGCCTCGGGATGCGACAGGGAGGAGTTATTCATACGAAAAAGGAATGGAGGATGAGGAGGAGGACGATGTGGAGGAGAAGGAGGAGGAGGCGAAGGAGGAGGAGGAAGACGAGGAGGATGAGGCGGAGGAGGAGGAGGAGGAGGAGGAGGAGGAAGAGGAGGAGGAGGAGGAGGAGGAGGAGGAGGAGGAACAGGAGGCGGAGGAGGAGAAGGAGGAGGAGAGAGCAGATGAAGAGGAGGAGGAGGAGGAGCATGGAGGGTGATGGATGACAATATCGATGATGCTGCTTCTGATGCTGATGCTGATGATGTCGATGATGCTGCTGACGATGATAATGCTGCGTCTGGTGATGATGTTATGATGATAAGGGTAATGCTGTCGCCGTTGATGCCGATGTCGATGTTGATGCTGCTGATGGTGATGCTGATGCTCATTATGTTGATGATAGTGATGGGGCGGATGACGAGGATGATGACCATGACGATGAGAATGATGATGCTACTGCTGCTGTTGATGACTAGCGTGATGCGGAGGCTGATGCAGCTGATGATGATGCGGTGTACGCTGATGTTCCTGCGGGTAATGATGGCGACGACGATGAAGCTGCTGCTGCTGCTGATGCTGATGTTATGATGGTGATGATGATGATGTTGCTGATGCTGGTGATGATGCTGATGTTGTTGCTGATGATGATGCCGATGCTGATGGCGCGGATGATGATGTTATGTTGTGGATGATGGTGCTGGTGATGATGATGACACTGATGCTGTTGATGATAATGATGGCGGTCATGCCGCTGACGATGATGATGACGATACTGCTGATGCTGCCGATGATGGTGCTGCTGCTGATGATGATGATGCTGAGGAGGTTGATGCTAGTGGTGTTTGTTTTCTGCTGGTGCTGATGACGATGATGGGCGTGATGGTGATGGCGATGGCCATGGTGATTGCCATGACGATGTTAATGCTGATGCTGCTCCTGATGATGATGCTGTTTATGATGATGATGGTGGTGGGAGGAGGTGGGGGAGGAGGAGGAGGATTAGGACAAGGATAAGGATTCTGATGAGGGGGATGTTGATGATGATGCTGATGATAAGGATGATCATGCTGCTGATGATGATGATGATGATGATGATGATGACGAGGATGATGAGACTGATCATGGTGATGATGATGCTGATGATGCAGATGATGCTCAGGCTGCTGCTGTTGCGGCTGCTGCTGCGGGGGATGATGATGATGCTGATGCTGATGCTGATTATGGTGATGATGATGCTGATGATGATGATGCTGATAATGCTGATGATGCTACTGATGATGCTGATGGTGATGATGATAATGATGTTGATGATGATGATGATGGTGTTGTTGATGATGATGATTCTGCTGCTGCTGATGATGCTGATGATGACGATGCTGATGATGAGGATGCTGATGATGATGATGATGCCGATGATGATGATGATGATGATGATGATGATGATGATGATGATGATGATGATGATGATGATGATGATGATGATGATGATGATGATGATGATGATGAGGATGCTGATGATGGTGATGATGCTAATGCTGATGATGCTGATGATGATGGGATGAGGATGATGATGAGGATGAGGATGAGGATGAGGATGATGATGATGATGAGGAGGATGATGATGATGCTGCTGCTGCTGCTGATGATGATGATGATGATGCTGCTGCTGATGATGATGATGATGATGACGATGATGATGATGATGATGATGATGATGATGATGATGATGATGATGATGATGATGATGATGATGTTCGTGGTGATGATGATTGGGTATGGGCGGTTTGGTCTGGGAGCGGTGCTCGGCTCAGCCACCTTGCATTCGGCATGCACGGTCGTAAGGGCCCCGCGGGGCCCGAGCCAGACCCAGGCGACGAGGAGCCCTGGCGTCTGAGGCCACCAGGAGCATCGCGGTCAGGCCGCCCCCTTCCGCCCGAGCCCTCGCGGGCTCGGCGGACGCGAGAGCCCTCAGACCCCGACGGAGGACCGCCCACGGCCGCCATGGGGCCGTCGGCCGAGCTCTCGGAGCCGCGCCCAGCGGGCCTTATCTTCGCAGGCGCGGTTATCAGCGTGCGGCACACGGCGCACGGCGCCGCTCGGCCGCCCCTCCTCTTGAGGCGGTGGCCGAGCGGGCACCGCGCGGTCCAGGGAGACTCCTCGGCCTCCGCTGGTGCTGCTGGAGCCGCACCGAAGTTCGCGAGCTCATCCGAGGGATCGGGCTCCGCGACCTTCCCCTCGGGCGGCTCGGCGGTCGCCCGCTCCAGTGCCTGAGGCCGACGCAGTCCCGCTCCGTGACGGGCAGCACCACGACGGTGATCTCCGTCTCTTGGGCGGGCAGCTTCGCGTTGGGCACCAGCTCCAAAGTGAGCTCCACGGTGGGCTTCGGCGCCGGAACGGCCTCGGGGTCCGCGCCGAGCTCCACGCCGAGCTCCCGCTCCAGGGCGACGAGCTGCGCCGCGCGCAGCGCCTGCGCAGGCTGCCGCCGATCCTGGCGCCGATGGCCACGACGGCCCTGGGCAGGGCGGAGAGGCGCCCCACGCCGCTCCAGGCCGCGCGCGCCAGCGCCTCCACGGCCTCCGCCAGTCGCAGGAGCAGGCCCAGCAGCGCCGCGAGCGCGACCCCCGCGCGCTGGCGCCAGGGTGGAACTGCCTGCGGACCTCGGTCCTCGCGGGGGCATCCTGTGGCACTTCCACGGGCTGCTCCGCCTGCAGAGTTCTTGGCGCCTCCACGATCCTCTCCTGGGCCCGCGGCTCGAAGGCGGCCTCCACGTTGTGCACCATGGAAACCTCGACGGCCTCCTCGTACATGACCTGCGGCACCTCCACGATCCGCACGGGGGGCACCTCCCTGTCGATGTACGGGATCTCGGGGCGGGCCGCCTGGGACTCCGCCAGGAGGGCCTGCGGCACCTTCACAGGCTGCTCCACCTGCAGCGCTGTCGGCATATCCACGACCGTCTCCTGGGCCTGCACCACGATGACGCTCTCCACGTTGTGCACTATGGGGACCTCGACGGCCTGCTCGGCGAAATCCTCGTGCATGACCTGCAGCACCTCCGCGACGTGCTCGCGGGCCTCGGTCGCCAGCTGCGGGAGCTGCTCGTCCTTGACCGCCTCGAAAGACTCCTCGAACCCGTTCACGGAGTCCGAGCTGCGAGGCGCCTGGCGAGGCGCTCCGCCCGCGGCGCAGGTGGCGGCCGCGATGGCTGCGGCCACGGCCCGCGCCCCCAGGGCTGCAGCAGTGTCCTGCGCCGCCAGCATCAGCTCCAGCTCGTCCGCCAGGGCCTCTGAGCGCCGCCGCCAGAAGTGCGCCTCGCGCGCAGTCTCGCGCAGCAGCGCCTCAGCCGACCAGCGGGCGTGGAGCCGTCCCGCCTGACGCCACCGTCGGCGGGCGGCGCTGGGGCCAAGCTTTCGTGCATCGGCAGCCACGCCGCGGCGGGCCGCCTCCCGTGCGCGCACATTGACAGCGGCCACCGTGCGTAAAGTCTCAGCGCGAGAAAGTCCCGAAACCCTCGAGACAAAACTTGGTGGTGATGATGATGGTGACGATGATGATGCCGATGATGATGATGATGATGATGATGATGATGATGATGATGATGATGATGATGATGATGATGATGATGATGATGATGATGATGACGACGATGATGATGATGATGATGATG